GATTTGGATTGTGTTGGAGATGAATAGTAAGGTGCCCAGTTGGAACATGAACAAGTTGGGCAGAACAGAATAACTATATACATACATACGTTTGTATACGTACTACATGTACTTATGTATGTATGTATGTATGTACTACATACGCTGCTGGAAATGCGTCTAACTATAAGTTAACTTGAAGTTGATTAGGGCGGAACTAAAGGTCACTATTATCTGTATATGTTGTCCAGTCAGCTGAGCCTGGCGACAACGTTTGATGTTGTCGTAGGGGCGGCTATAACAACAACAACGTTTGATGGACAAGCCAATCTAGTCGGGGCTAAGTAAGCCGCTGCAACAAAAATATTATCTGTACATTTTCTTTGAGGAAAGCTTCTACGGCGACGACCGGGTCAGGGGTTATTATCTCTGCATTATAACTCAAATAACCTATAACTAATTACTTTTGGACATAACACGTCTATTCTGAACGATACCGATGGTCTTGTAACCGGAAAATTGTGCGACCGCAATTCTAGGTATGTTGGTAATATAGTTAAGATATTCAGCAATTTAGCTATGAAGATTTGTGCAAACTCTGGCATTGCATATTTCACGGGGCTATATTTTGTTATACCATTTCCCATGGCATCCTGAATTACTTTGTTCGCTCCTCCAATTACGATAGCGAATTATCCCATTCCTACGGGCACATTCTTAATTCAATTTGACAGTTCTCTGTATCCGTGTTTTGTTTTTGTTTTCTACACTGCAAAATTGATGTAAAATGTAGGTTCTTCCTAAAAAATCTATAAGTTTCCGTATTAAATTAGGGATATACACACTTATAGTTTACATTTCGTACTCAGAAAAAATGCAAGTTTAGATTACTGAGCTAGTTTCGATAAATTTCTGATAAAAATTAAAGACGGCACCGATTTATTCGTAATTCGCACGGTAATTGGATCTGAATTACCAACAAATGAGGTAATTCGCTCTCAAAATTTTGTATGGCGAATTACGTAATTCCAAGGGTGATTGGAGTGCGAATTACGAATGAGAGAGCGAACTAGGTAATTGGGGTGCCGTGGTAAAACCGTATTACCAGCTTATGAGATAGTAACAAAATTTACAAAAGTGCACAGAATGCGAAACGGGGTTTTAAAATTAGTAGGAACTTTATTTACCGGTTACAAAATTTTTGTTACGGGCACAGAATAGATCTGAAAATATCAAAAAGAAAAACAATATATTTTTTGTATGTTTATTTCTTTACTTTACTATGTAACATTTACTATGTAGACATAAATAGTTAATAATATTAAATACGATTCGAATTCCGTCAGACACAACATTAAATTCGATCTTCATTTTATTTGTCCTGAATTCAAAAAAGGATTTGTGGACTGCAGAAAAAAAGTATATTCAAAGTAAACTTTGTATAAGGATATTTAAATAGAAGCTGGGCTCGACGCTATTAAGCTAGCATTTCAGCGTACTATTTATATATATATATATATATATATATATATATAGGTAAAACTGGAAAGTTCGTGCACCTCCTGTCCCTACCTGGCTACGCCCATGGCAAGATGTGGCTGCAATTGAGAGAGCGTAAATCGATTCCGGAAATATATTTCAACTTGCTCGTGCTGCATTAGCAATCCGCAATTCGCTCATGACTGCTCATGCAACTGCTTTCTGAAATTTATCAATTTGACAGCCTTTTCGAAATATCCTGCAGTTTGGAAATAAAATGGCAGCTTTCCTTATCGCTTCTCTTGGAGACTCCGAAAGAAATAATAAAAATTCACTGTTCACCAAACAAATCTTAAATGTTCGATATTCATTTCAAAAATAGGATTAAGAAAGGATTCCCCATTCATTGTGTGACTAGCTTCCTCACATTGCATGGTTTGTTAAAATGAAATGGATTGTCCAACAAAGAGGAATTTTTACTTCGTTCTGCAGAACGTTTTCGTCATGCATGGCAAAATGCTCGCATTTCCTGAAGGGATGCTCACATGTGTTTCTGATCATGAAAATATATGGAATATGTGTGCAATGGCTGGGTTGGGGAGCAGCAAACTAACAACCAACAGTAACAAGTAGTGAAACAAGAAGAAGAGGCACTGCATGATATGAAGCCGATTAAGTATAAAAGTGAATACGAGTGTGTGTGATTGTTCCGCTGGGGAGCAGTGTTGCCGTTGAGTATTTTCAGAAAATCGCAATAAGGGGGTAATTGACGAAAAAAGGGTTCACCATATTATTTTTTACTTTTCTTTACTAGTGAAAAAAAAAATTTGAGATCCCAAGTCAAAATCAAATTTACATGTCTTATAAAGTCTGCTAGAACGTTCCGCTGTTAAAGTTATGCAAAAAAATAGCGGGAAAGCTTTAAACAAAACATAGAAAAGGAGTTTCTGCGAGAAGAGTTGCATTTCCCTTAAAACTTTTAAGCGGTTCATTTTTTCGTACTTACAGGAGGAAATATTTTTTAATAGCATCGTACTGTTAACATTTCCCATAACAAAATATATGAAAAGGGGCAAAAGTCACGTCATTTTGGAAAAGGGTCAAAAAATTAAAAAAAAGTCGCCTAAAAGGGTAAAAAGTCGTACAACGGCAACACTGGTGGGTAGCATTTCAGCAAGGAACGAAATAAAAAGGAGAAATAAAACTAATAACAAAACTTCAGTCAAGAATCCATATTTGCTCAAATACATATACATACTTACATACTAAATATATACCAAAAATTTCTTGCCTGTTAACCAGGCAATTGGCGTGTTAAAATAAAAAAGCAAAGTGGTGGAGCATTGAAATGAATGAAATAAACGAGCCGACGAATCAAAGAACAAACGAGCGAATGCCCCAACCCCAACAATGCGCGAACATTGCAAATGATTGCCAAACGAATGGATTGTTGCTTTTGTTTCGCGGCACAATACATTAATGGCGAACTAGCAAACATTTTGTTTGGCGAATTTATACCTTTATGAATTTTTTCCGTAAATTGCAAATGCGGCAGTGTTTTTTTTTTGAATATTGAAGCATTTGTCCTACATGCACTTAAAAATTAGTTGGAAATAATGGCAGTGCAAGAGAAGTAGTCTTAAACTATGTTCACATTACACCATAAATTACTATGTCCGATCAAATGACTTCACATAAACCAAGTACGTTCACATTTTATTTTATAATTTCTATAGCTGAGATTTCAAGAAAAAAATAAAAAATTTATGTATTCCTTTGGGTGTTTTTCTGAATTTCCTCAACAGTGGTGGCTTAAATAAATGAGAAATATTTTTTTTCATTTGGTTCTTGATTTACGTTAAATTATCTCATTTCTATTTAATTTATTATTATTATTATTATATTTTTATACGAAATTGGCGAAAATTATTGGATATATTGGGAAATATTTGCTGTGCCAATACTTTGTTCCGGCAGTGTATGTACAGAAGATATCGGAATAATAAAAATATCTTTGTAGTTCTTATGTTAATAAGTAGATAATTTTTAGCAAAAAAAAACCGACTTAAAAAATATATATGTATATAGCTATATATTTCATGTGTCAATGATCGGATCTAAACCAAATTAGTATGGGACCACCTCTGAGACACTACCTTTCCGTTGCAAAATGAAATTATCGAAAAATTTGACGTGGTCCAAAGTTATGCGGCAACATACATAAAAAGATAAAAATAATAATAAAAAAAAATAAAAATATTCCGACAAACTGATATCCTCCTCCTTTTTTGGAAGTCGGTTAAAAATGTTAAGTTCGTTGGAGTACGCGGCTGAATCTCGAAAACGACTTGGCCGGCCGGATGGTTTAAAACATAAAAAATATAAAGTTCCCTGCTCTTTGAAAATTCGAAATACATATTACCCTTTGGGTATCAAATTAATGAGGCTTAAGAAATTTTAATTTGGAAAATATTTTTGAAAAGGCTTGCAACCAGTTTTAAAAACTCATGAGGCAAATGAAATGTTCGCAATATGCATTTTTAAATAAAGTGGTTTAAGAAAGCTTTTTTGGGAAAATAATTTTAAAGAGAGTCTACAATAATTTCCTGTAACGTGAATTACAGTAAATTGTTTTGAATATTTTAGAATGAAATAAATGTAGTTTTATAAATTTTTCATATACAATGAGGAGCAGTTGTGAGTACATGGTGATTTTTGTTAAATATTTGCAAGGTTTTTAAAGTAAATTTTTTTTTTATTATAAATGAAACTATTAACAAATTTTCATAAAAATTTTGAGCTTTTTAATAAGATTTTTTTAGAGTACAAAATCGCGTTGACTTTTGAGAATTTTTTATTTCTTTTTTGGTGACGGCTTTTTGCACTTTTTTGTATACAAGCATAAATTTCTTATTTAAGAAAATGCACAAGAGCGTTTAAAAAGAAAATTAAAAAATCAACGCCCGTTTTTATAAATTACATTTTACTTGCACTTTATTAAACAAAAGTTGTAAAATTGCAACACTGCATATGCAAAAAAATTCTAAAAAATCAGATTTTAATGAATTTTTTTTAATTTTTTCCAAGTTCTGCACCTATAAAGTTTTCAATTTTGATGATCTTAATTTGAACGCCACTGTATAGGTATCCCATGATCTCAATCCCATTCAGAACTTATGGGAGATCGTTAATACGAAAATCAACAGGGAAAACTGTAGGACCAAGGACGATCTTTTAAAAGCTTTAAAAATAGCATGGGAGGGCATATCGCAAGATGTTATCGATAACTTAATATCTTCAATGCCTAAAAGATGCGCTGCAGTTATCCAAAATAACGGATTTTCTACAAAATATTTGCAGGAAACATGTTTGTTAACACCAATATGGGGGTGCTTTAGTTTTGTCCATTGAGATTTTAACTACTTTGAAAAATAAAAATAAAAATTTATAACAGGTACCTATTTTGTTTTATTAAATGTGAATAAATAAGCAAAACTAACATGCCAATACCCAATAAAAGCGTCAATATATGTCTGTAAATATGGTTCTTTTACTGTTTCTAAAAGAGCTCACCCATTCACACATAAAACAAATGTATTACCTATGTATAATGTAACAATAATTCAAATATTTATAGCAAATTCTGCTGTCGGTATTATGTATTAGGCAGTGTGTACACACACGCGCTACGGTACCTTTAACCGCAAATACACGTTAAAAGTTACCATGGCGCGCGTAAGCAGACAATCCCTGCGTATTAAGATGGTGTGGTAAGAAATTTTTTGCAGTAAAAAAATTTTTAAACTTACGTCAATGAAGTAGCAGCAAAATTTATCCTTTAGAGGACCAACGCAGTTTTACTGAAGCATCGTTTGGCAACTTGGATAGAGCACAAAAAGTTTTTAATTTTGTCACTGTATTAATCACTAACTTATAATGTCACGATTTTCTCTTATTATATGTGTGTATGTATGTACGTTGAATACTATTTACAATTTTTTGCGTCTCTTTCTGTGTACATTGTTATGAACTCATTAAATTGTTAAATCTTATCCACTAATATTGTATTTATTTCATTAGTTTATACATTTTTATCGTACATTATTTTAATGATTTCTCAATTCACACAGATCCATTATTTCCTCAATTATAAAATTATAGTATGTACCTACTTTGTTTATTTTTGTTACTGTATATTCACAATTTGCATAGTTTCGCACCAAATTTATACTGAAATTCACAACATTTTAGCTGACAAACGGTTACATACATACGTATGCATAATGCTTGCGCAAGTATATGTATATATTTTAGCAAATATCCATCCGACCCTCTGAATTAATGTAGGTATGTGTATTTTTGTGATTAACTGCAATAGTAATCTGAGCGATATAACGAAACAACGCACTATTCGGCCAAGCCAGACGTCCAATAAGCTCTCGAAGCAAACGAATGTTTGGCTGCAGCTCAGTCCGTTATAACCCACACACCTACATATAACGCCTACACATGCTACATATCTCGTCGGCAGCAGACCGGGCTGGGTCGGGCAGTGCCGCTCTGGTCCGCGAACGGTTTTCCACTTGCCGTGGAAAATGTTTCATTCATTGAGGAAAATACAAAATATATATACACATATATGTACATAAACGTACGCGATTCAGCTGTGTATAGGCGGTTGTGGCAGTAAAATATCCCCAACTAAGCGAGTGAGCAGGCGAGCGAACAAAGAAGCAATTGAGCTCGCGACTAAAACTAGAAATTTGGTGAGCGGACGGACTGACTGACGGCTGGGTATGTGGTAGGCGGTTTGTTGTTGGCCCGGTCTCCAAAACAACAAAACATACATACCTACCAGATATACATATGTATGTTTGTAAGTTGGACCCGACCCGACGCGCTGGTGAGTAGGCTTAGAACGAATAGCAATACCACACACACACTTGAATCAGGTTGGTCACACACCTATGGCAGTAAGGTGTAGGGAGCGTGGTAGTACCACTATTGAAATTTCTCCAATTTAAAAAAATACGCATACTTTTTACAGCCTAAGTACATATTTTCCCGAAAAGCAGATGTATTCCTTTCCTTGACCAGGACGAGGCCCATTTTATGTGCCTCTGTGACCGTGGCCACTGCGCACAAGTCGCCTCGTACGCCGCCAACAACAGCCATTTGCGTGGTCACATGTGTCAACACACGTACCTTCTTTGCCTTCAATCTCCCAGCAAAAACTTTTCCATCTATGTCCCTCGCATGCAGAAAATGTTCCGTCGCCAATTTGCTGCGCCTACCTGCGCACATTTCCAATTCAACCTCCTTATGATTTGTTGGTGCACATATGTATGTATGTATAAGGAAAATTTTTAGTCGCTGGGCCGCAATTGAACTTTTCCTTCAGCGTATTTAAAAATTTTCTTTCATTCATTGTTGTTTTCTTGCCCCTTTTTCTTTTTCTTTATTTCTTTTGGTTGTCAAAAACACACACCTATAAAGGAATTCGATTTTTTCTCTACTTTATTTTGGTTTTTTCCTTTTCCACTCATTGACGTTCGCCGCGTTCACTCGCTCACTCACTCATTCATTCGGTCTTTTTCCTATTTGCTTTTGCGCCATTTTCTTTTCACTCTTTTTGCTGCCAGCAGAAAAAAATATAACCAAAAATTTTTTCCATTACTTTTTTTTTCCTCAGAGTTATTTCTGGATGGATTTCTTCGTAATTCCTCACCGTCCAGCACTAAATATTTAACGTTTCTACACTTTTGCACATTTAAAAAGTAATTTTGTTGTGCTATTTCGCACTGCACAGGTTTTTAAAAGTATTGTAAGATAAAAGTAGACAAGTTTTTTTCACAAATTTTATCACCAAGTCGATGAACGCGACAGCCTTCATTTAAAAACGTCCGTTCCTCAGCCGTGCTCAACGCGGAGTGAACTCAACACTCAAAAGCAAATTCACTCTGGCCGACAAGACATTTTGCTGTCAAATGTTCGCCACTGTTGCCAGTTAATTTTATTTTGTTGTAATTTTTAAAATTTGGTAGGTTTTGCAATGTTGGTTCTGTTTGGAAAGTAATTATAACAATATAATTGCATAATTACTAGCATTGGACACCGATGCACGTTGCAGCAAATCTTTAAAAAAAAAAAAGCAACTGTCAAAAATCTGTGTTTTAGTTAAAAACGTCTTTATATGAAACTACAAAGTTGTTAAATAAAAGAGATGAACAAAATTTGGGTATTTCCAGTTTTTGTCGGTTTCAATTTTTCGAGCGTGGCAACTGTGCTTACACTTGCAGTCCAATTAGAATCGTCCATTTGCCTTTTGTCGGTCGCACTCATTAAATTTATATTTTTTTTATTTTATAATAATAAATACATGAAACTTTTCAATCACGAGTGTACAGTATTCGGTTAGTCTATTTCTTAATTTCTTGCCCCTTCATGGTGCACATAAACAAAAACGTTTTTTGTTTACGACCGTCTGTAAATCTTCCTTTTAGCTGGTGTGGTTGCCACCTCATGAAAATTTTGTGTACCCCAATATGCAAGTAAAAAGGCTTAAATTAAAATAAAATGTACCACTTTTTGCCGTCCAACTAAAATATATACAGTGACTCCAACAAGTAACTACGTGTTGATTTTTTTTAAATATTCGTAATGTTTTGCGAACAAATTTTTTCTTATTATTCTTCTTTAAAAAAACGTCCATGCTGTAACCGAAACCATATAAACAGTGTAAAACAAAATTTAGGAAAATTCGACAAATTTCTATCAAAATTTAAATTTTCAATCTGAATCTTTAGAACATTTTTGGGTATGCAGTTTTATAGCCCATACAATTTTAGTTTAATAAAGTGGTAACGGATTTTTGTACTTTTCTCAATGCAAGAATGAATTTCGTATCAAATAAAATGCAAATTGCACTTGTTATATAAAAAGAAACACCCCCAAAAGCAGCATCCAATCAAAAAGTAAAAAAAAAATCAACACGATTTTTTAGTTGGATGAAACTTGCACTTTATTATCAAAAAGTTGAAACTTTGATGAAGGAAATTTTTCGAATGTTCCTAAATTTTGAGACTTCAAAAAGGCCCAAAACAAACAAAAAAGGCCCAAAGGCCCAAACCGAGAAAAAGGCCCATATTTGGTACAATTGTACCAAAGTGGCAACCGTGCCGCAGGGTAGCATTTCAGGGTTACCACTGCACTTTCTTTTCTACCAAGAACTGGTTCAAAAACCTATCAAAATGGCTTCTATTCTATCATTTCTTTTAATCAAGAAAATGGCGTTTGACAGGCAAAAAAAGGTTAGTTTGTTATATACATATACATGGACATGTACTTCGACTGTTTTCTTTTTAATTTTTGGTATGATAAAAATCGAATTTTCTGTTAATTCGTATATTTATTAAGTGGTTTGCTTTTGAGTGCCGTTTAAAATATTTTAACATCGTTGTCATTGTTGAAACTATTAGAGATGTTTTCTGCTTTATGAGCAAAAAAAAAGTGAAAAAAGCTACCAATTTTGGTAGGGAAAGCCGAGAACGGCAACCCTGTAGCATTTGACTTGGGAATGTGAAAATAAAAAGTTGCCAACCCATTCGCGACAATTTGGTGCCAAACCGGTTCGAACAAGTACCAAATTTGTTGCTTCGCACCGGTAGGTGGCGCAAAATGGTTATGAGTTCCTTGGCCTGACGGGTAGATAGCGCTTTTTCCATCGTATCAATGATCTCTACACTGATACGCTTTTAGTCGGCAGATGTCGCAGTGAGATACCCTCTATTTCGTTAAAATAAAACAAGGTGTCGCCCTCACTGATATGCGCTAAAATAACTAAAATTTTACCTGTGTTTTTTACCAATAAAATAATAATAATAAATAATAAAAATAATTAATAAAGTCAAATCAAAATCTATTACAGCGGCCATGAGAATGCGCAGAAATTTGTTGTCGAAAACCAAGTTGATCATATTGGGGTGGACGGAAGATCCGCTTCGAGCGTTCTTGACGTGCGCACTATCCGGCGAGCCAACATTGACTCGGGGGCACTATCTTGTTGCAGCTAAGGTCCACATGCGCCTCTTTGCAATGAAGAACGTAGGTACGTCAGGAAACGCGTAGAAACTTCGACGCTGCAAAACTGCAGTCGCAACGTACAGCCGAGAAATTTTGCAATTCACTCTCAATCCAGCTTACACAAGCAACTCCTCATCGCCTGGACATAAATGAGTAGTGGGATTCCATCTCTCCATCACTTCATACCGCTGGGGAAGAAGTTGTTGGTTATTATTAGACTCGCAAAAATAGGTAGTATGACTAATGTGACCAACTATTTCATAGCTCAAAGTATAGATTAGGTCAAAGTGGTTGCCCCACGCAAGGGACTAACTTGGTTCTAAATATAAAAACATTTGCTGCAGCAGAGAAACGTCTTCTTTACCTTTTTTATGTCATAAAAGGAGCATCGCTTTCTTTCGTCCTGTTTATTACGTATTTAGCAGAATATACAATTTCAAGTACTACGTTGCGATTGATAGAGAGGTCAGACATTCCTTTACCGATTTCGTGTGCACCATCACACCCTTTAGCAGTGAGTCTACCGCTTCCTTGATGGCAGCTATTTCCACCTGAAAGACACTGCACAAGTCCGGAAGCCCGAACATAGGTTTCGCGGAGAGTTGCTGACAGAAGTAACCTACACGAAGTTTTGATCCGTTCATTAAGAAGTTTACCTCTACAGAGAGGTATGATGCCATCGGTCCCTGGCGACTTGAAGGGTTTGAGCGAATTTATCGCTCAGACCATGTGACGATCGTCCTGAAGATCAAAGAATTACCGGAGCTGCTCGGGCGCATGTACCAGCCATTAAGCAGAATTTCGCCATTTGCGCCAATTATCGCGAAATAAGCCTTCTTTATATTGAATACAAGGTCCTGTCGACGATACTGTGTGACAGACTGAAGCCCTTTACGAACCAACTGATTGGACATTATCAGTGTGGTATCAGACCTGGGAAGTCCACCATTGACCAGGTTTTCATAGCACGTCAAATCCTGGAAAAGATATTAGATATGCAAATCGACACACATGAGGTTTTTGCGAATTTTAAATCCGCTTTTGAAAGCACGAATAGAAGCATCCTGCGCGACGCCATGTCTAAATTTGAGATCTCCGCGAAACTAACTCGGCCTATGTGGAGTGACGTTGAGCACAACCTTGAGCTCCGTTCGGATTGGGAAGGACCTCTCCGCGCCGTTTGAGACCAAGCGAGGTTTTAGACAAGGCGATTCAATCTCTTGCAGTTTTTTCAATCCGCCGACGCTCAACAAGTATTTCATCCTGGCGCAGAAACATGGACGATGTCAAACAAAGATTAGAAGGCATTGCGGGGAGTCACGAACCTTACAATTTATTTTAAAGACATGGATTGCGCTGGCTTGGCCATGTTGTACACATGGATGATGACGCTCCAGTAAAAAGATTCTTCGAGTCGGGGCACCAATGAACCAAGCGCAGAAGGACCTGTCTGCACTCGGGATGAGCAACTGGCGCATATTCGCACAGGCGAAAGGCAACTGGAGAAGCTTTTTAGTCTCGGCCCAGACCGACAAATGGTTGTAGTGCCAAATAAGAAGAAGAAGACATATGCTCCTCTAAACAGCAAAGTATTTGTGAGATAACTGTTGAGAATTCTGCAGAGCGGGAGTCTCTAATGGCGAATCTGCAGCAGAGATACTATGCAGTAGACTTGGAGTAATCAGATGATGTAGAGGTGGTGAAGAAAGATGCATAAATACTTTCTCGTTGAAGGAAAAATATTTCTACATCAAATCAATGTACATAAATATAATTGAAGTTTACCAAGGAATAAGCTTCTCGCTCTTCCATCGCTTCGTGCGGCCCGCTTTCATAAGCAACAATGCGCTGGAAGATATTGGCAGCACAGATTTCAAACTAAAACTTATGAAATACGAGTACATTGCTTAATATTATCCATAACAAAAAAAAAAAAAATAAAAAATAAACAACAACTAATAGCACTCCAATAAGCATATCGTACCTGTCCTACACTGTCGATTGGCCGCCGACCGTCCGTGCTACAAACTTAAATGAAAGCATAAAGTCTTCCTGGTCATAAATCTAAGCCGCAATGGCAACAGCTATAACAACAGCAACAACAGAAGTTGTGCGCATTACTCAAGGAACAGGTGTATGGTTGGCCAGCACCGCCGCTGACAGGTATACATACATACATTCGTACTTACACCCGATAGTGGGCACATTTATTCATCTCCGAATAAATATATTTATGATACATTCGTGATATTCTCGCACCTTCCCGCACACTTTTGCGGCCCCCCGCCCCCCCTTCACACTTTTCGATTGACAGCTCCTATGTGAGTTGGAAAATTCTTTCAGTTTACTACTTCACACAAAAACTTTGCCTACTCAGGCCGGCCCTCGGCCGACAATCTTTATTTATTTCTTTGTAACTATATATGTACATTAGACTGCATCACTCCCCATACAAAAAAAAAATCGGTACTGTTTTTCCATTGGAATTAATCTTAATAATTAATAAAATCTATTATATTTTACGATTTCCACCAAAATATTTCGAAAAAATATTAAGATTTAAGTGAGCTGGACCGATTTGAAAATACCTCCAAAGATGGAGTTTTTTATGAATAAAAATAGTTTCTTAAAGATTTTTTTTTCTGAAAAAATCCCCTCAAATGAAAAACGGTTTAAGCTTAAAAAATTTGCGTAAAAATATTTTTAAAACATTTTGAACGAAATCGTAATAATGAGATTTTTGATGCTGTTTTTAACTTTTTTCAAAGATTGGTATAAGAAATACTTGAATAACTGAGCCTAAACTCTCCCGATTTAGACTTGTAAGATATCATTGGAAAGGTATTTT